TATATATATATAGCTGTTAATATTTGTTTACCAACGAAAAAGTGTTTTCTGTAAAACTGTTGTGTGAATGCTGAATGATATTTACTGACGGAGCTGAAAGTGAGATACGAAAGCTAAAAGAACACTAGCTAAAAGGAGCAAAAGGCTAACTAAAAGCTAAATATGACAAAACGGTTGCTAATAGTAATAAAAGCTAACTAGATGCTGAATGTTACAAAAAACTAACCAAAAATTTAATTGTGGCAAAAGGGTAGCTTAAAGGATTAAAGGCTAACTAGAAGCTAAAATTTTAAAACTAGCTTAAAATGGGGGTATTATGTGTTTCACAGGCACAAAGTTCAGTTSTATACCACAATCCAGTAACTGTTACCTTCAGCTGTTAACAAAATGTTGTATGTATCTCAAATAACACCTATCTAAACAGTAAATAATAAACTTCTAAGTTAATAATCGAAACACCTTTAAATTGGCCACCGTCTCTTTAAAAACCTTCTCCCGTTTCGGACGCTTCCACTTCAGCACGTCTTCACCGCGATACTTTTGTGGAGGGGTGCTCTGTGGGGGGGCGGGAGCTCGGCTGCAGACTGAGCTCCGGGGAGGAGCTGTGCACAAATGGGCGGAGCTTTGTACCAACCTCACAGGAGATTCAAGGATTTCTCCAACGTGCATGAATGAGTCAAAAACAGCACTGGGTGTGCTTTTGACGAGGGAATGACGTTATAACAAAAAAACTCAAAATAGTTTTACATAATACCCCACCCCCCCTTTAAAGATAAATGTGCACGATTAGTAGCTAAAGACCAGAAAACAGCACAAAAAGACAAATGTATTATGTGGGAAACATTTGTAAATATATATATCTTTTAACGGTTACCAAAACTATTAGATATGGCACTTGTTTCCTAAATGGGCTGAACATGTTCAGTTAAAATCAGCTAAAATAGACCAAAGTTTGCTGAAGCTACATTATAAAGATGTACAGAAAAATAATAATAACAGTAAACAGTTTATCAGTCACACAGTTATAAGTCCATCAAATAAAACCGGTTGCTGTTGTTTGTTTTCGGGACATATTTGCACCGGTGTTCTGTTTTTTTTTTTAACATGTCCCGACCTCCAGGTGTGTCTGGACCTGGTGCGGCTCCTCCACTTCCTGTCCCGGTCCCCGCTGGGCTCCGTGGGGCTGCTGGACTTCCAGCCGCGGCAGTTTGTCACCGTGTCGGGTCAGCTGAAGCTCACGGACCTGGACGACGCCAGCTGCGAGGAGGCGGCCTGCCGGGCCGACGAGGACTGCACCCTCCGGTTCCCGCACCGGAACTTCAGCCTGCCCTGCTCGGGCCGGCGCCTGTGTGAGGGCCTGAACGAGAAGAGGAACATCTACAACGCCTACAGGTGAAACACGCGAAGGCTTTACTGCGCAATGAAGAGACGCTTACTGCGGCTAGAGTAGTGAAGGGAAACATACGGTAAAACCATCCAGCTGGAAAGTTCTGACTCTGGTTCTGGTCCAGGTTTTTTTATTTTTTTGACAGCTTTATGTGTGTTTTAACAGCAGAGTGAGTTCGAAGTGTTCAGTTCTGTGGGAACGATGTGACAGGGCTTGTCTCTGTTCTTTGGCCGCAGGTTTTTTTTCACCTACCTGCTGCCCCACCAGGCCCCGCCTGGCCTCACACACCTGGTAGACCACATCATGAACAGCACAGGTGAGGAGGCGGGGCTTACTGATTAACCGCCGAGGAGATCAGAGAGGGAGTTGTTCCGTCGCAAAGAGTCGTGTGAAGACATGCTAAATATTTTTATTTAATGAGCTCCACGAGATGCTTCTTGACACGTGATCCTGCAATAAAATATAAAAAAAACAACTAGTTTTCCTCCACCTGGTGTGCAGCGAGCCGACTGAGTGTGTTCTGTGTGTCCAGGAGAGCTGAAGGCCGACATCGATCAGACTCTGGAAGCCTTTGAACACATCCTCCAACTGTACACGTCAGGCCTGCACCTGGAGAACCTGCTTCCTGAATCCATAATCGGAGGTAAGACCTGGAGCASGTTTTTCAGCACATATCTCCTTCCAAGTTTGTTCTACTTCAACGTTCTTGCAACAAAACTTTCAGTTTATGAGTATTTTTTTAGATATTTAGCCTCTGTGGCCATTTTTGTTCTTCCTGAGGATGAATGGAGCTGTCTTCAGCTTCCTTAAAGGTCCTCAACAAGTTCAAAATATTTACTGTTGATTTGAGCTTTTTTCCTTTTTTTTTTATCTATCATTCTCACCTTTTCTGCTTTTCTTCTGCTAAATCAATTTTTTGTGCTTCTTTCTGTTAATTTTAGCTGTTTTCTGTGTTTTAGCTACGTTTAAGCCAATTCCGGCTAGTTTGAGCTTTTTCGACTGAATTATTATTATTTTTATTTCAGCTTCTTACTGCTTAATTCAGCAAATGTGCTCTTTCTGTTTCTTTGTGCTAATTTCTGGTATTTCAGCTCTTTCTTTTTAGCTATTTCCAAACAAACTGCAAGATTTTTCTATATTTTTTTCTTCCTTTTTTTGGCTCATTTGAGAAGTTTAATTAAAATTCCTCGTTGGCCTGTTAATTTTAACTTATTTCTGCTACTTTTAGCTTATTTTTGTTCATTTTTTGCTCTTCAGATTATTTTTTTTATAATTTTTTGTTATTTTTCTCTTGATTTCTTGTCCTACTTTCAGTCAGCTGTACAAATTTAACTCACATTACAGTATAGTTTTGATATTAAAGCTTTCAGCAAAGTTTTTTTCCTRATTAAGAGTTCACAGAGCATTTTATCAGGAAATGCTGTGTCTCTAGTTGTAGCTGTTTTTGTTTCCTCCTCGTTGTTTTCAGGGAGTTGTTTCTCGTGTTCAGGCTTATTTTGACGGGTTTTTTTAGCGCAGCTGGAATGAGAACAAAACCGACAAAGTGGAATTAATCATTAATCAGGAAGAACTTTAACTTTTTCACAATTAAAACCGTTTCGCCCCCCGATCCCCCCTTCTACCCACTCCATACAGGCACATTTTTTCCTCCCTGCAGCCCCGCCGCTCCTCTCAGCCATATGAAATATTAATAACAGAACGGCTGGCTGCGTTCCTGTGGGGAGAGATTTTTCTTTTTCTTTTTTTTTTTTTCCACCGGCCCCCCTCCTCTGCTTCCCCCAGATGCTGGCCTGTTTATATAGCAGCGCTTTGTGAATTTAATCGCAGGTCCAGGGGTAAAGAGGCCCACTCTGCTCTTTAGCGAGGGGAATGTTTCGGCTTAACGAGGAGGTGCCAGGAGTCGACTGCTGCTGCTGCAGAGTGATAAGATCCAAAAAAATATGTGTCTGTTTATTATTTGAACATATCGCACGGTTAGCTGGAGCAGAGGTATTTCGTTGTGGGGGGGCTGGAGGACAAGCTCGGCTGGTTCAGTGAAGTTCAGGTCAGCCGGCTTTGATTTGCAGATTTAGCTTCATAAACTCAAAAGACAAGTTGGAGAGCAAATCGTCATTTTTGGGGTTTTGGTTGGAATTAGGTTAAAGTGCCTGTGACGTGRGTTTTGTACAAATACAAAAAGTTTGGAAAAAACATCAAAATTTTAAAAATTGTGCTAATACACATGGTTTTATCCTTTTTATCACTTAACTGGCACYTTTTTTTTTTGTTGTTGAACTTATCAGCTAACGTGAAACAGGAAGTGATGTCAAAGGGGAACTTCCTGGTCTGTTTGAGACGATGGCTGTGTCCAAAATAGCAGGACGGGTCCTCCGAAGGCCGAATTTGTCGGCTGCATACGTCACAGCGCCGCGACGAAGGACGTCCCAAACCGAAGACTCCTCCGATGCGGCCGACAAATACGTCCTTCCTTTTTCCCCGATTTGAAGGACTGGTCTGATGGATCCTTCCCGGCCCAGCATATCCCATAATGCATTGCGGCCCGACCGGAGATTTTTTTTTTAAGCTAGTAATGGCGGACGAAGCGAGAGAAAAGAATACGTTTTAAATAAAAAATATGGCGATATAAAAATTAAAAAATTTAGAGGTTGCAATTCTAATACTTTTATCATTTGTATGGACATGTTTTTAAATATTATTTTTACCATAAAAAAAGTGAAATAAACATGAACCTACAGCGGGTCAGTTAGTTCTTCAAATGTTACCTTTAAGTTAATTTTATTGTTTTGTGATATTAATAATGCTAATGTATCAATATTTCGCTAATTTTGATCTATTTTTGCTTCTGTTTAGCGTCGTCTTGGTTGCTAGGTGACATGACGTACGCGGGGGTGGAGGGGAGGCTAGACCGTCCAAATTCACAGACTTTTTTTTTTTCCGTTCTTCCCGGTCTACCAAGGACCCGGCCCGCCGCGACCGGGTAGTCTGGGTCCTCCGGAGGACCCGGCCTGTCGTTTTGGACACAGCCGATATTGTTTGAATTCTGATTCCTCGTCTCTCTGATAGTGTCTCAAAATAATCTAAAGAAACATCAAATTCTTCACCACCGTCTGTGTTTTTGGCCGTTTTAACAATATTCTGCTTACATACAGGCTTCCCCCCGTTTCCCCTTTGTCATCACTTCCTGTTACTGRTCATGCACATATCTCGACAGCTGCTTGTCTCGGTGGATTGAATCTTTTTTTTTTTACAATACATTATTGAAGTTATCTACCCAAAAAATATTTATTTTTTATCATAAAAATTTTARGTCACAGATACTCTAAGTTTACCTTTTCAAATTTGTTTCAGTTCGGTTTATTGGATCTTCCAAATAAAGAAAAACTGCTCGTGTGTTAGAGAGAGAGAGACACTCATCCTTGAGCCTTAATTTCAAATTGCTGACAGATGGAGAGTCTTCAGGGACATGGATGTCAGTTTTCCACAGCTGAGATCTTCTGCGGTGTGACAGAGGAGGCCAGGATGTAGCAAAGAGCCTGGATTAATTCAGGATTTGTTAAGACAGACTAAACTATTCTCCAGAGACAGGTCAAGTTTCTGTCTTTACTCTTTAGGCCTCATTTGAACCCCTCTTCCTTTTAGTCTGATGTAAAAACAGATCCTCAAGTCTTTTCCTCCTATCTAACACACACACACACACACACACACACACACACACACGCCTCCTGACATTTACAAAGGTTACCAGTTTGCATCGCTCGCCTCCTCTCCTCAGACTCACAGACGGAGCTTTTGTCCATTTGTGGAGACGTGTGTGTGTGTGTGTGTGTGTGTGTGTGTGTGTGTGTGTGTGTGTGTGT